ACTCACCAAAACATCTCCATCTTCCGAGGTACTTACAACACAACCTTTTGAGGTTGATTTTTCAAAGTTGTTTCCTCCATTTTTCCTCTTCCAACACTCTTTTCTCGTATGTCATTTCTTGCTACAAAAGTAGCATTTGATTTTAGAACTCTTCTTACTTCGAGACTTCGATCTATCATTACTCGAGCCACATTCTGTTGATCTTCCTCTCATCATTGTCAAAGTTTCTGCTTGTTTGAAACTTCACCCTTACTCATCCACCTGAATTCTTCTTCAAGAATAGCTCCGGCAACATCCTCAAAGTGCATATTCTCATCAATATTATTAGTTGTAATATTGATGATGAGTTGATCATACGAATAAGGTAAACTCTGAAGTAGAAGCTTTGTACGCTCATTTTCAACTATGTTGAAATCTGCCGCTGATAGTTGGGCAAATAAGGTATTCAAATGGTTGATGTGGTCTGTCACTAATGTGGACTCACTCATCCGAAGAGTATAGAGTTTTCTCTTCAAGAATATTCTTGTGTAAAGTGACTTCACCTCATATAGTTTAATGAGGGTATTCCAAATCTCCTTCGTAATAGTCTTCTCTGCAACACTGGATAAAATCGAATATGTCATTGATAAGTACAAATTCGCAATAGCATTGTCATTCATTTCTTTCTATCATCGTCCATCCGTGTGTTCCACGATTCTTTCCACAATTGCATCAATACAATTGTCCTTCCTCAAAATTGTCTTTATCTTCAATTTCTACAATGAGAAATTACTCTCATTGAACTTCTCTATCTCATATTTTGTTGTCATGGTTCCAAAACTGACTTATGCAATCCTCACTATGAATAGTATTGCCTACTAGAACACCAACGGTAGACCGTGAACTAGTACAACAGGTAAGTTCCCAGGAAAGAGAAGTGGTCACTAATGGACACGCTTAAATACCAAGTCTTTCCTTGCCATAACTTTTCCTACACATGCTCTATCACACTATCAAATAATATCCAGTAACAAGAATAACTCTTTTTTGATGTGGAAGATCATATTAACCGCAACCACAGAGCATACTAAGAATTTCTCCAACACTATTCTAATGACTATGCAGCAGAAGAGCAATATCACAACCTAGTGGCTCTGATACCACTATTAGGTATTTTCGAGGGGCTAATAGCAGAGAGATTCTCACAAATGATTCATGAATCAACCATATAAGAGAATATGACACCACCTTCAACCCAAAACCTTAAGACATTGGGTTATGGGTCTTTCTCACTTATAAGTTATTTAACTTTCTCATTTCTACCTAATGTGGGACTTCAAACTCACATTTTTTAGCCATGAGTATCTAGTGATGACCTCACTTGTACCGTCGTTCAACTTAACGAGACTTGCTTACCTGAAATCCTTGTCAAGAAGACTTTCGACATAAACTCAACTAAGCCGGTCACCGGACGAACCAGGCTCTGATACCACTATTAGATATCAGACAAAAACATAAGCACACACAACTAAAATAAAAAGATAATAAAAATATCAACAATAGGCAAAAGAATAATTCCACTAATGAAAGAAATTACAACCATTTTCTCTATACCTCCAAAGAGGAAACAATAACACTCTCTCCTGAAAATAAAGGAAAAACAACTCTTAGAGAACCTAGAAGGAGAAACTATTTTTCTCTCTTAATTTATCTTTCAAATACTAAAACAGAAAAAAAAAATTTAGTACATCTTAAAAAATAAACTAAAATTTTCCTAAAGTGAGACTTTTCTCTCACATAAACAATATACTAGAATCACAAAATAAATCGAAACATATTTATTTCAAAAAAGTCAGTTTAAGTGTAAGGATTGACATGCGAGTGAGACAATGATCAATTACAAAAACACATAAATAATAAATTAAATGCATAATTTCAACAAAATATACAAATAATCAATCACATACACATAAATATTCATTTCATTACAAGAGAAATATAAATGCAAATGAGCATTGAAAATAAACTTAAATTATTATAATTAATATTTATACATTAGATTTGGATTGTTATGATTTTTTCAAACATTTGGATTTTGTGATAAGTTCACCGCCATTAACTTGCAAAGAGGTCTAGAGAAAACCAGCTGCAGCTTTGTATAAATAATAAATGCTTCATCTCTCCATAACCTAGACCCAATCTCATCCAATCTTTCTCAGGACCACGTCTTTGGCATCCATAATTATCACCAATTTGAATTTCACCTATGTTCAACAAAAGCAATTGGAAAATTATAAAATTTTTAACATCATACAATATAAATTACGTTTGATACTTTTGTCAGTAACTTGATATATATATATAAACAAATAAAAAAAAGTGTTACTAATGTCCAATTCTCCCATATTAAAAATTGTTGAACCAAATCCCTGTCTTAATCAGCCACATTTATGTGCACTGTGCCAAGTGAATGGAGCCATGCTAACTTTGAATATTAAATTAACAGGTTTTTTAATTATGTCATTATCTTAATATAATTTTTTGATTTTATCTTCTTGATACATTCAACTGGTTGAAGCGGTTCCTATAATCACAATACTTTTATATTCACCGACAAAGTTTTAATGATCACATGCAATACTTACATCTCGTAGATATATTATTTTTAAGTTTTTTTCGAAGGCAGAAATGTAATACTTGTAAAGAAAGTCACCCTGATGGTTATTTTAATTTGATAAGATATTCAATTTTTAAGTATTGTTGGTACAAAAATAATTTTATTATTATTAATAAAACTAATTATTGATATACATTTTAATATGATTAAATAAAATTTGATAAACTTATAATATATTACAAATTATAATTCTATATTAATATAAAAATTCTTTCTTACATTTTATCATTTAATTTATTTTAATTTAATAATTTAAAATAATAATATCTTATATAAGAATTGTATTTAAAGTATGATATATTAAAATAAATTTTAGTTTTAAAAACTAAAAAATTATTTAATATCAATTTTGTTAAAAATAATTTTAAAAAAAATCAAAACTGTTAAAATATATATTTTTGTTTATTTTATTAATAAATATTAATATTTTTATCAATCATTATATTAAATAATTTATTTTCATTATTAATATTATTATTATTATTATTATTATTATTATTATTATTCTTTTTCATCTAAAATGATTTTTAAAAATGAAATTATCAAAACTACTTTCAACATATGTTTTTCTAAATTAATCTCTAAAATTATTTTTAAAAATTTAAAAATAAAACTATTTAATTTTTTTTAATGTTATTTTTAATTTAATAATCTAAAAATATAAATTTATTTTAAGTATTACATTATAAGAAAATAAATAGTGAAATAAATAATTCTAACTTTTATTCTTTATATATATATATATATATATATATATATATATATATGAAACGCAAAAACTGTATGTGTTCACATTTAAAAATTATTATAAAAATAATTAATAAGATATTAATAATAAATTATAATAAAAAACAGTTAAAAATATTAGAAATATGTGAAATAAAATGGAAGCATGTATAAAAAAAACAGCTGACAAATCTTCTTTAATATGTGAAATATGTTTTTTAAATAATATATTTTAACTTTTTTTTAATTATCTGTTACATTGAGTTTGATTTCAATTTTAAGTTGTGTTTACCGACTATGCTTTTAATTAATGAATAAAAAAACACATAAATTTACTCGTTTTGTAAAAAAAAAAAACTGGTGATTGAGATTAATCATTCAAAATACATAAAATTTATTCAAAAGATTAACATTTACTTTAGCTTTTTAATTAAAACACCACAATTAAAAAAATCATCAAAATTAAGAAAGCCTTTTAAGATCGTCTAATAAAATATCTCAATGTGTTTAAAATCGGGTTCACAATTGAATCCGTAGACACAATAGAGTTCATAATCATTATAATTATAACAAAAATTATAAATAAAAATTATATCGGATGAATAATTATTAAAAAAATTAAAAATACAATAAAATAATTATTATTTAAAAAATTAAAATATATTATATTTTTTATTGAAATGATATAATAACCAAATCGGTTTGGATTCAAAAACTGAATTGGTTTTTTCGATTTTATTTTAATTTTATTAAAACTTAGTTATTTAATAATAACTAATCCATTTTTAATGCGATTATCAATTTAATCAGTTAAAGCATTTGGTCTAGTCCGAATTTTAAATCTGGGATTGTGTTCCTATTTCTCCATTAAAAAGAAGTGGTTGGTGGAACAGATGTATATTTAATATATTAATATAATTAAATAACAATGATTAATGTTGTTAATTTTATGTTATCAAATCTAATAGTTGTACGTGATTAGTACGCAACCTCCTTTTCGTACTATAGTCAAACTGTCGCCGCAAAACATGCTTCGTTAATTATTATATTATTCATAAAAGAGAAACAAAAACCTAAAAAGTGTTTTTATTATAACATGATTAATATTTTTTTAAAAAATAAAATATATAAAATTTATATTTATTTTTTTAAAATCAAATAAACTTAATTTTATTCTTATTCTTATTTATCTCTATTTCTTGAATTGAAAGTTCTGATAAAAAAAATTTCTTTCATCCCTCTATTTTTTTTTTTTAAATGAACTTTCAAATATTTTTCACAATCTTTCAATAACTATTCATTATTAACTATTAATTAGTAATTAAAGTGTCACACTATTTTATTCGGGGTTTCAAAATTGTAGAAGAAATCTGTGAAAAACAAAAGCTTGTGGAAGAAAAGGGGTCTCCAAGCACATTCAAACACGTCTATGCAACATATTGTGCAAAAATCTTAGATTTATTCAATGAATATTGACATCAGTGACTCATTGTTGTTATTTATAAAGCCACTTTAACACCAAACTAAGTCCTTCATTCACTTCACCCTATCAAAAGGTTCCACCTTTTGGTATCTTCTACAATATCCTTTCATAGTGTTGTTGTTCTTCTTCATCACCATGTCTTTGCTTTCAGATCTCATCAACCTCAACCTCTCGGAATCCACAGAAAAGATCATTGCTGAGTACATATGGTGAGCCTCTCTCTCAAACATTACAAAAACTGATATCATATCATGTCACGTAAGCCTTGTGCAAGAAACAGGGGACTCTGTTTTGGTTTTGGGCTCTGTTTTTGAAATCTTTGACCAAATGGTGTTATTGTTCCACTAATGTAATAACCAACCGACCCCTTTAGGATATTATACTGTTTTTTCTGATTCATGGAATATTTTATGTTGAGAACATTACTTCCTTTCCCAAGTTGTTCCATCAATCAGATATGATATGACAACAGATGTTTTTTTTACATGGATGATGATGATGATAGAATCTTGTTCTTGGGTTTCATCTAGATGATGATAAAGCAAAGGAAAATTAACTAATGATTTTTATGTGCTTTTAAACAGGGTTGGGGGATCTGGTATGGATGTCAGAAGCAAAGCCAGGGTAATTGTTTTTATTTTTTTCTTCATCTCAAGTGATCATAATCAATTAAGAAATTATGTAAACCTTTTCATGTTCACTTTTTAAATTTTTAATCCATTTTTTGGTGATTTATGAAAAACAGACTCTTCCTGGACCAGTGGATGACCCTGCAAAACTTCCAAAATGGAACTATGATGGGTCTAGCACAGATCAAGCTCCAGGGGATGATAGTGAAGTCATCCTATAGTATGATTCAATCCCTTATGCACTTTTCTTCATTTAATATCATTTTTTCACAAAAAAAATAATGATGTTTTCTCTTGTTATTTGATGAAGCCCACAGGCTATTTTCAAGGACCCCTTTAGGAGAGGCAATAATATTCTAGTAAGTTTCCCAAGTTAAACAATTGGCTTATAATAAAGCAAGCAACTTTTTTTTTTCTTGGTTCATCAAATTGTATACTATTTTGTGGGTCAAGGTTTCACACTTGAATAAAAATCTGTAGGTGATTTGTGATGTGTACACCCCAGCTGGTGAGCCACTTCCAACCAACAAAAGATATGATGCTGCCAAAATTTTCAGTCACCCTGATGTTGTTGCTGAGGTACCATGGTATGTATTTTCCAACATTCTCTTTAGATTATTCAATTTTTCAACCATTATTAATTTCTGGAAACCACTTTTTATACATGAAATCGTTACAATTTACTATTTCCTGATACAATTATCAGGTATGGAATTGAGCAAGAATACACCTTGTTGCAGAAAGATGTGAATTGGCCACTTGGGTGGCCACTTGGAGGGTTTCCTGGACCACAGGTATGAGATGTTCCCTTTAATAAATAATTAAACACAGCACCATTTAATCACAAACATTAGTGTATTGTAATTTAATTTTTCTAATAATCACTTCACTTTAAAAGTAATATTAAGGATGCTTGTCCTTCTTAAACCATTCTTAAAATTTTCTCCTATTTTTACTACGTTTCATGTTATATATCAAAGTCAAAGTAAGTTTTTTTTGTTGAAATTCTAGCATAAGAATTGGTTCTTGGTCAAAATATGCATAAATGCCTGAATTTCTGTGCATGAACAGGGACCATACTACTGTGGAGTTGGTGCTGATAAAGCCTACGGTCGTGATATTGTTGATGCACATTACAAAGCTTGTGTTTATGCAGGAATTAACATTAGTGGCATCAATGGAGAGGTTATGCCTGGCCAGGTACAATAATAAATTTACATTATAACTGATAATATTGTTATCAATGCATTTCCATTCTGTGAAGGGTTCTATTTATTCACACTATTTAATTGGTCTCTATTGAAAATTATTATATCTTAATTTTCTGCTTATTTTATAGTGGGAATTCCAAGTTGGTCCTTCTGTTGGTATCTCTGCTGGAGATGAAGTGTGGGCTGCTCGCTACATTTTGGAGGTAATTCAAAGTTTCATTCATTTTTTTAACTATTTTTAATTATCAAATATGAACATGATTAGTCAAAATCAATGAAAATGTAAATACTGATGAAGTGTTCTTGTGTTGCAGAGGATCACAGAGTTAGCAGGAGCAGTTGTTTCATTTGATCCTAAGCCTATTCCGGTTAGATATTTCCTTGTAAAATTTGTTGATAACTTGGTAGAAATTTTGAAACATATAATAAAAGAATAATTGATCTTAATTACATTATTCATTGTTACATTATTGTGTTATTAGGGAGATTGGAATGGAGCTGGAGCACACACAAACTATAGGTAATACTTCTTCTGATACTTTTTATCTGTCATAATTTATCACACTTTTTAACAGAAAAAAAAAAAAAAAAAAAAAACTTCTTTTTTATCTGTAACATTTCAGAGTTTATAGTTTTATTTACAATTAATAAATGCAATTTAAATTTATGATAAAGAGGTATTAGAATATAGATTTTCTGAGAGATGAAATGAAATGGTGAATACAGCACCAAGTCCATGAGAGAAGAGGGTGGTTATGAAGTGATAAAGAAGGCCATTGAAAAGCTTGGATTGAGGCACAAAGAGCACATTGCAGCATATGGAAAAGGTAATGAGAGACGTCTCACTGGAAGACATGAAACTGCAGACATCAACACCTTCTCTTGGGTAAGCCACAGCATCATTATTCTTGGTATCTTGTGATGTTTGAGATTAGTTAGCAGATAATAATGAATGTTGTTTTTTGAAAAAGGGTGTTGCAAATCGTGGAAGCTCTGTTAGAGTTGGAAGAGACACAGAGAAAAATGGGAAAGGTTACTTTGAGGACAGAAGGCCTGCTTCTAATATGGATCCTTATGTTGTCACCTCCATGATTGCAGAGACCACCATCCTCCGGAAACCATGAACACATACATGTTTACACCACTCAAAATTTGTGTTCAATATCATTTGAGCTATGCAAGGAATTGTTGTTTTCTTAGGAATAAGTTTTCCAGTGTTCTTTTAAGCCTTCCCTGTCTCTTGTATATATATGGTTGAGAATAACTTCACCATTAATAACAAGAATTGCTTCTTGAGTTCAGTTTTAGTTCAATTGTCCTTTTATTCAATGAATTTAGCGAGGTAAAAAACCATTACCTTTAAGCTATATAGTTGAATACGTCATGTTATATAAAATAATTAAACAGATTTAAAATTGTAATTTAAATTAAAAATATAACTTTTCTTTTCAATGGTAAATTAGTTGAACCCAACAAATTTTAGTAATTAAAAACACAACATGGCTTTTAACTTTTTTTTTCTACTTTATTATTTTTGTATATTTCATAATTAATAATTAGTATATAATGTGTAGAAGAAATGCACGTGAAGTTATCCAAATTCAATAAAATACGACAAAAATATAAACATTATTGAATCTAGTCTTTATATGGAACAGGATGAACCAAATTTATTCTGACCTTCCTTCCCTACAATTCAATAATTGAGTGAATGAAGATTGTGACTGGTTTTAAATCTCTGCCACAAATTTGGCAATTTTCGTTCCCATCATGTGCATTGAACTGATAAAACACTGCCAGATATATAATCTACTGCATGTGGTCACCAATTTTTACCAAAATCACTACGTTTAGGTCATAATATTTTATAATATGATAACAAATTGTATAAAAAATACATCATCGTTAAAAAATAGTAGTATTGAATTAAATTCTTTTAATAAGGTTTTATATTTGAGTTTTATAATGAATATTGAAAAAAAAAAGTATCAAAAGAGATTACCTAATTTTTTTATTATTATATACTCTACATTGCTAAAGAAAACCATACAAGAATCAATGACATTAGGTCAGTGTCCTCCACTATAATAATAAAAAAGAGATTTAATTTCTGGTAAGATGGTGTATGTTTCTGGGGTATACTTTGTCTCTATGCACCCACCACTTTGCTTCTTTAGGGAAGAAGAAAGGGTAAGAACAAAGAAAAAACCATGTCTTGCCCATAACGTTTCTATATTCAACAATAAATTTTATTTAACTCTTAATATTGCTATGTAGTTTATGGTCCCCAAGCTTGTGATATTTTATAATATTAGTTTTCATAAAGTGGATTGAATTTTCCACAGCTCATGGTTTTTCTCAATCCCCTATTTTATTCTTGTATTGCCTATTTATTTTTATATATTTATAATATAAATAATTTAATTTGTTAACTGTTATAATTGAAATTTATAAAAAATAGATATTATTGTTAAAGTTCATTTTTAAATTTATATGTATGATTGATAATTTATATTGTGATATAAAGTTATTGTAAAATTAAAATTAATAAACCGTACAGAAATTATTTATATTAATAAAGATAATAGGTAGGTAAGATTCCCAATAATTTTTTTAGGTATGAATCATTTTTTTATGGAGAGAAATAGAGTTGTCCACGTTCAATTTAGTTTGGCTTAATCTCTTAGGTTAAGTGAAAAAATTTAATCGTTTCGTTTAGTATGTATTTTTAAATACATTATAATGTTTTTATTAGAATTGTGTTAGGTTAATAGAACAGTTTTGATTTAATTGAAAATAATAAAAATTAGCATATTTATATAAAAATAATTAATTAAAAAATATTTAAATAAAAATTAAAGATATATTTTAAAATTTAAAATTATATTAATGAAAATAATTTTTATTTCAAATATAATGATATAATATATAAATTTAGGACAATAGATTTATTTAGTCACAATAAAAATTAAAAAATTATTATTCATAGTTATAATTAGTTTTAATAATTAGATTGAGAAATAAATAAATATTAGAGACTTTTTTTATATTTACTTTAGAATAAGATAATGAAAGGAGGTTAGAGATTTTTTTTATACTTACTTTTAAAATAAAATAATATTTTATCAAATTAATATAATATATATATATATATATATTAATGTATTTTTTATTTTATTTAAAAATTATTATAATTTTAAAAAAACGGACTAATCCATAAATTTATAGATTAGTTAACCTAAATTTATATATAACCTAAATAAATTGAACTAAAATAAGTTTAATTTAATTTAGATTATAAATTTTTTAATTAAATCTAATCTATTTTTTGAGTTAAACCTATTTTAATGTCATATTACAAGGAAATAAGATGAAAAATATTTAATAAAGAATTAGGATTTTTTTCATTAATAAATTTATCTGTGGTTTTTAATCTGGATTTTAATTTGTTCTTCATATTTTAATATATATATTCATCTAAGAGAAAAGAAAAAAAAGATTTTCTTAATATTTACATGTTATTTTTTATAAAAAAATTCATAGAACACACAAATATGGAAAGGGAAAATACTTTCGATTTTGAGTCAACAATTCCTTTAGTTTTTTAATGTACACCACAAATAAGAGTGATTTATGACGCTGTTCTCTTTCTCTTCCACACGAAAGAAAAACAAACAAAAAATAAAGACACTTTTCACACTCAATTATATGCTTTGTTTGTTCAGAAAATGGATTGGAAATATTTAATGAAACCCTAAAATGGAGTTGGAGAAGCAAACTATCAATTATAAGGGCTCATGATTGGTAGTGGTGGTCAATCCATGCTAGCTATTGCCATTTTTCTACGTAAGCTTTTCTTCTCTTTAACTTCAAAAATTATCATTCTCTTCTTCTTTTTTATTTGAAACTATGATTATGAATTTTTAGATGGTAAAAAAATATATATGTTTTCAAATTTCAATTTAAAATCAATAGATAAAAATTAATTAAAATTTAACGAAATAATCAATAAATATGTAAGTTATATATAAAAAAGTGAGACAGATAACATAAAATATTTTCTTCAATAATCCCTTTATTATCCTAATTATTCGAATATAACTTATGTTTCAGTATAACTTATATATATATATATATATATATATATATATATATATATATATATATATATATATATATATATTGATCACTTTAATATAAAAACGATTTCTCTTATAAATGATGAATTTTATTTATTAGTATAAAGTCTGTTTGGGAATTCCTTTTAAGAAGATAATATAAAAAATAAAATAAACTTGTTAGTAAATCAAAATTAACTATCTTATATTTATTTATAAAAGTTTTAATTCACCAACCGTAAAATTTTATTATAATTATAATATTCATAATGCATAAAAAGATTAAAAATAAAATTTTATTTTCATTAAATAACTCACTAAAATATTTGATTGAAAAATATAATGAAATATGTCCATCTCACAAATATGAACTCAAATTTATTGCGTGGAAATGATTTGTTTTTAAACAACAACAAAAAAACACTCCCAAAAACTTCTAAAATATATACATAATGTTTTAAAATTGTATCAAAATGGTTGAGAAGGTTATATAGAACAAAATTTTTTTTGTCATTTTAATAATAGTGTGGAATATTTTTCAGTTTTAGAATGACCAAGCTCGTTAAGTTCCGTCACAATTTTTTATTAACAAATCTTGAATGAAAAAATTATTCTTAATTATATATTTTATCACAAAATTTCAATCTGAAATTTTAATTAAGATAGGTTGGATTATAGATTGAAATTAGTGTAGTCCATTGTGATGCTCAAATTGTTTGATCAACTTACTTTTTCTTTTTCCGCTTTTATTTTTAATTAACCTAAGAATTACGTCAATAATATAATAATTTTAAAATATATTATATTCCTACAAAATTAGTAATTATAGTTTTAGATTTTAACTATTTAAAATATTTAGTTATTATAGTCTTTTAATTTTTTGTTTAAAATTTTAAATAAATAGAATATTATGATGTGTTTTGTAATTGATTTACGATTAGTCAAAGAAATTGAAGAATCTTATTAAGCGATCTAAGCAAAGAACGATGCAGAGAAAGATTTTGAATCCTTCGAGTCACGGTCAGAAAATATATTTTTAAAGTTTTCTTCACATATCAATAGCCTCCATTAGTGTTTTTTTTAATACAAATGATTAATTTTATGCTTAGGTTTTAATTTAAGAATCTTTAGGCAAGTAGGTAGAGCTTCCTCCTACCTCTTATTCTCCATTGTTGCTCTTCTCAACCAAACATTCACCCACCCCTCTCCCCAAATATTCAAAACCCTAATCATGATTGTCACAAGAAACAAAACCCTAATCATGATTAGTGTGATATTAACACAAATCACAAACCATATAGAATTCCACCACTTTACTACTGCTCAAGTTTTCTAGTGTTCAAGTGTTCATTGACCAATGCAACCTCATTCTTCACGGTTCATATCCAACCTAGCTTTATTCAAATACAATTTCAAAGTGTATGTTGAGAGATTTTCTAAAATAAATCTTTCAAACTATTTTTTTTTTCTCTATCTTTTATTTTCTGATGAAAAATGAACTAACCCCAGAAATTTTAAATTTGTGATCAAGTTTCAGTACTTTGCTGATTGAAACCTTGAATCTTTCTGCCGTTTATAAATATCCAATAAAAATAGTTTAACCTATAAATAGTGAAATATAATCTTTGAAAATCTATTCAAATCATTAACAGGTAGAACAGAGTAATTAATCTTAAAAAAATAGAAAGTTCCTCTAAGACTACAACACCCAAATTAGAATCATGGAAGACTTCAACAGAGTTTCTTCTTCTTGTAACCTTTTTCTAAGTTTCTTCTGAACCATTCAAAATTGAGAAACCTTCAAAGACCAATTCTTCAAGCCCACCAATATCAACTTGAGAGAACATAAATAATATCAACAAAACCTAATCCTACCTATGAAGAGAGACTAGTTAAATGAATCACACAACAGAAAACTGAAAGCTAAATACATAAATTAAACGTGGATGTCTATATATGTCCAATAATAATAATAATAATAATAATATTAATATTTACACAATGAAAAAGGAAAATGGAGAATATAGCTAAAAGCCTAAATATTCTCTGATAAAAAAACAGAGGAGAACAGAACAGGAGTAGGGGAGGCAAACAAAACCTCCCTCTTCAACCTGTTTACACCGACACACTAAACCAAAACCCTGAACCATATTCTCATCCTATGACTCACCAACTGAAATGGGTTGGCCGGAAATTCCCAACGGCGACCGGGAAATCTGGCGGCTGATTTCGCGAAGAACATGTCTGATCTCTGGCTTGCCAGGGGACAACTCAACAATTTCCTCTGACTCTTGCTTGATCTTCCTTACCTGGCTATGAATTGGAACACCCTTTTGTGCAAATCTTTCATCTTTGTTCATCTTCATGTTCTCCATGCTCTCTATCACCCAAAGGAAAAAACTTTTATTGAGAAAGTTTCTTTTCCGTTTCTCTATATGTGACAATCTACAGTATACAACACCAAAAACACTTCACATGAACCATAAAACATAAGTGTGTGTATATATATATATATTTGTGAGTGTGAACTCAAAGGGAGTTCAAGATTGAAACGTAAGGGAGAAGAGAATAGGGAAGTTTGGTGGGAAATCTCTATCTTTATGGGATCGGTTTGAAGATGACTAAATTGGACCATGTCGTTGACGCTATACACCTCATGGTGACCAAAGTTTTTGCTGGGGCTCTGTGTGACCGTTTGATTGGTTTGATAGGGTCAATCTTATGGCAACTGATATGAGAAACTAGAAACTACTTTATTGTATAATTGGGGCATTCCGTTGTTTAGAAGTTGTGAATTTAACTTTTTAGGTCACGTTTAACTTGGCTTTTGGATGTGATGCATCATGAAATTCTGTTCAAAAGTATGAACAAGATCTGCTGTTTTTGTTTCTTGTTATTGTCAACTTCTCGTATATATCTTTTTTTGTGCGTGTGTATGCATTTTCTTTTTATGTGTCGATAATGGTGCTAGGTATATGGCCATAATCAAATGGATAATTATCAATATATATCCATTCGGATTCGATTCCCTCTCTTACCAAGTTGCATAATTGGATGATGACTTAGCATTAATGCTATGCCCCGTGTGGTCTTTTTCTTTTTGCTAGTAAAAAATAATAATAATAGTAAATTATTATTATTATTATTATTATTATAAATATGGTCAAAGTTTGACCAATTCATGGATATTTTATGGGTGTGAGTAGGAGGAGTTCTACTACCAAGGGAAAGTTTCTAATTCCAAAACTTGAAAACTTTATGTTTTGACTTGTGAAGAAATTAGGTTGTAGCAGATAGGGTTTCAGTTAATTATTCACAGTGTTTGTTTGTTGTCTTGTTTTGTTATGTTTTTTTGGTGCTATTAACCACAGTTTTGCTTCTTTCTTTTCCTGGTTTAGTAACCATGTAGCATGGAAGTAGTTTTCAATCTATATTATTATTATTACAAGGAATATATTAGATTTGTTTTTCATGTTTGGTTTGCTTTTTAAAAGATAATATTATAAAGAAAATAATGTTTGTCGGAAATGAAATTTTTACTAAATTTTCAAAAAAGTATATTCTCATGGTCAAAATCTAACCATTTCAAATTCAAATAAAAAGTTTTGTTAAAAAATACATCGATATTCTTATTAAAAATATAATGTAGAATTGAACTATTTATTTTAAAAAGATTAACATATTATTATTCTTTAATTTGTAGAATAATTATATAAATGTTTTCATTGATTTTTTTATCAACCAAGCATTAGGGTGTGTGATTCCCAATAATTATAGTTTTTGGAATGCGATTTTTTTTTCTTTTACTTGGTGCTCAGTTCTTTCTAAGAGTATCTTCAAAGTTTTCTTAAAAGGGGTTAAGGATAAGGATCTTCTTGTAACTCCATCATTGGAAAGAATTGAGTTCTTGGTCCCGTGCAATAGTGATTCCTGAAAAAAACCTATTTTTAACATTTTTCTTTTATATTTATATATGTTCTTTCCTTTGGTTTTCTCAACCCACATACTTGCAAATATGTGTTATATTCTCAACACTAAATTATTATTTTTAGCTCGTAAATAATATGTCAATAATAGATTTAGCTTCCAAGAAGACGTAGTGTTATAATATAAATGTTACTGAATTAATTTTTTAAAATTAAATTAGATATATCTTTCAAAAAGTCAAAAGTCAATTTTAATGTTGTCGAATTTACTAAAAAATCCTTCTCACGAAATGTGTTATGAAATTTTATTAAAATAATGATAAAATTTCCCTTGAAATATGGAGACGATGTTGAGATTATTAAAAAAAATAATATTACATAAAATATTGAAATAAAAATATGATAGTATTATAATTTAATATTACAATAAATGCTATTTTTTTAATATTGAGTTAAATAAATATTTATAGTTTTATATGATTAAATTATATCACATCGTTTTTTAAAAATAAATAAATTAGAGAAATTAGATTAAAGAGGATAGTGTAGTAATTTCGAATTGAACAGCAGAAGAGAAACGCAAGATGCAACATCATCGTAGAAAATTTTGAAATGGTTTGATGTGTGAGCAGTTAAGGTTGTTATAAAGGGACACGTGGTTGCAGTCAAAAACAACTGTCGCGAAATTACGTATTTGTCCCGCTACTCATGTTCCCGGGTCTTTTCGAGACTCCTTTTCTTCCTTCAATATTGGTAGTTTGTATTGATCCACAAATGGACACCACGATGCCACGTGCACTTCTGTGTAGAATCAACCCTCGATGTTGTATTCATCTACATGACCACTACCATGCCACGTGCACCTTTTTAAAGTTTGAATTTTTAGGTAACGAAACCATGATTCAAAGTTTAAGTCAGTCGTAATATAATCCCTCAAATGTGAAAGTCAATCAACAATAATGTTCAAACCACATTTCAATAGTGTTGATGTAAAAAAATTATGAATGAGTTTTTTGTGTGGAAATTTAAATACTCTTGTGAGAGATGAATGTTAATGTACTATGAAGTCATTGAAAGAAACACGATAATGATGATGGAAAAAAGAGGAAAAAGTCACAGAAGCTTAATGATGTGATTTGAAGAGTTGGTGATGGACGTTGTTTTGTGTAGACGTTGTTTGAAGTTAACGTTTGTGTGAAGATTATTATGGTGATGAATTTGATCGCGTGGTATGCATGCTATTATGAAACCTCCAAAACCTTCAATTTAAAGCAACATTCAATTACGAATGAACCTTAAATTCAGGTCTCGCTAATCTATCATGAAATAGTAAAGATAATAATAAACATATGTTGTGTTAACTAATTAAGGTTAGATGAATTAGTCTTGATTTGTTTTAAAAAAATATTTATATCTAAAAATAAAAAATATTATAATTAAAAATATTATAATTAAAAATATTATATTTTTATTCATGTTATTAAAATATATAAATATATTATAATATTATATTTTAAATTATGAAAATTAATTAATTATATTTAAATTATTAATTAATAAATAAAAATTTTAAAATTATTCATAAAATTAAAAATTTATTATTAAAAATATATAAATAAAAATTTATTAACATACTGTTAATTAATCCTTTTTAACGTGTTAGTTAAGGTTTGTAATTCATTTATCTTATCTCATTTTTAATATATTAGAGATTTAATAGACAAAAATAAAATAAACGATCTGTTTTACCTGTTAATGAAATTGAATTTTAAAAATAAATCAAGATTAATTTTGAATAGAATGTATATTTAATTTTAAGACTATTTATTAAACTGAAATAATTTCATTCTAATTAATTAACATGTTTGGTAATAGTTTTTATCTAAGCTAGTATTGATAAAACTTATCTTTCTTTAGAGTAAGTCTTTTAAAATGGTCTTATTCTGTTGAGGTAATTATATCGGGGTTTACCTTTGTGTGTATAGTTTGACAACGTATTTTGCAACGCTATAATATAAGGTGGGATTTCTTGGGAAAGAAGTAATATGTAAGAGCACGTTTGTTATCTGCTCAGTTTATATCTCATTTACCACATAATTTATTTCTAAAATTAATGAGTGAAATTTGTCTATGAACGAGATGAAAATAACTTAACGACATCTTGCTTCTAACATAAGTTGAGGACATATCGAAACTCTCGATATAATTAGTTTTTGAAGGTTGAAAAATTGACATATTATTAGTGTTAAAAAAATTATTAATAATAAAAGCGAGTTTGTTTGACACAATGTGTAAACTTATTAAAAGTTTACCTAGGCCAGAATTTAAAAAATTGCATGAAATAGTGGATTCAAACTCATCGTTGTAAAAACTGCTTAGTTGAATTATATTTTTATCAATCAGATCAAGTGTTACTTGTAAAAGGAATTAAAAATTAAAGATATATTATAGCATGGCTGTAATGTTATAATCTTTAAGATTTTATTTACTATTTGAAAAATATTAATTTTAAAGATTTGTTAATCTACGTTTTTTATTAAATTTTTCTCATGGAAGGCATGAAAATCTATTTTTCTGATTTTTAAAAAATATATACCAAAAATAATTTAGAATTTACATTTTTATATAATTTAATGCGATAAATAATTAAAGTATACAAAAAGTTCAATTAGAAATAAGCATGAAATTTTTTTACTTCTATAATGTTCAAGATCCAATCTAAGATCTGATTCGTATATAAAACGTAAATTTTGACCCATTAAAAAGTTGACATAATATTCAATCAATTACTTAATCGATATCGTAAATCAGACATATAACAATTCGTTTATGTTTTATATAAGACCTAAATATATATTCCATAATAAGAAGAACTCGACATAATATCAAATATAAATATAAAGTTAGGACTAGGATTAGAATTAACGAGACTTAATATCAAATATAAATACAAAATTACGACTAGGATTAAGAGAAAGAAATTAGTAATATTTTATAATAACAACTTCTAATAAACCTATATAAATCTTTTCAATAAAATATATAAATCTTTTGAAAAATATTTATAACCAACTAAACATATTTTAGTCATTCTTAATATTCGAAATATGAAATTATTTTTTTACACCAAACACACGTTTAAGTTGATTAATTTTCTTTCAAACAAGTTAAATTCAATTAATGGAATCTCATCCTATACCTCTAGTTTATTTATAAAAAAAAAAATTATTCTTATTGTAAATAATTTTTTTATTTATTTTTTCATAAATTTTTCGGAATGAACTTTTTGAAGATATTTCGAAAAATTGCTTCCAAAACATTTCAAAAGAAAGATCAATCTAGAATACTTGAAAATTTCGGATGAGTGAATTTGAAATCTAAATTATACATTGAAAAATAATTTTCCTATTTAATTTTTAGAAACTTACAGATTAATCTTTTTGAAATAG